ATTTGCATGAGGCACTTCCCGCCTTCAAATCTATAATAATATCATCCCAAAATTTTCAGTGCAAATACTACTACGACAAATACAAACTACACCGTATCTCAGCCAGTGTTCTTCTGATCCTCTACTCATTTCTGGGTGCCTGGGTCTTTTATTATTTTGAACATGATTACGAAAAAGAGGTCAAGCAGTAAGTTATTTTTTTCGTTTGTTTTTCTAACCGTTGACATTTTAACTAATTGCTTTTCTCTACCAATTGATCAACAATCTCTGATTTCAACGTTTTTTTCTTAACCCAAGTGAGAGCGTGGTGTGTGAAAAAAAAATCTAGGACGATCCAGTGAATTTAAATTTTAATTGTAGAAAACTGAAAGTTGAAACTTCCAAGCTAAAAAATCTAGCAATTGGCACCTCGTTCGTTTTCTTGGCACAATGGACCAACAACTTATTCATCTGAATTTTGATTTCAAAATTGTCTGTATCTCAATTCAACCAAAATTTTCAAAAACTCACTCTTCCCAAAAAAGAAGTGGGCGGAGGAGACAATTGAACTTCGCTTCCCCCTTCGATCTCCAAAGATCCAGTTCTGGAAAACTGTCCGGCAAACATCCTGACAACTCTTCCCTGAAATATCACAACTAAAAAATTTCAAATTACTCTATATCTCACTTTTAACGAATTTTTTTGTTCCTTACGATAATCGTCGTCGTCGTTTATAGTTGTACCATCATCTCTTGATTGAAAACTGAACTGGGAAATCGAATTTTTGATCCAAGCGATGTATTCGATAGAAGCGATTCCCGTGAATACGGCCGAGATGCTCTGAACGGATGGAAAAAGAGATATGACGTTTTAAATGAGGTTGAAGGTGGGTGGTTGTTGCTGCTCCGGAGAAGAGCAACATACTTTTTGAGTTGGGAGGGTGAGGAGGGTGAGCCAATAAAAAACGGAATGTGTTTATCTGATTTCTCTGACTATGAGGAAAACGATGGGAGATATAGACAAGAATCATGTGAAACATTGCTCTGGGAGAGAGAGCTGGGATGAGTAGGTCAAAAAAGATTCTTTCGTCTTTCCTCGAAGATTGACATTTTTTTGACACACTACGTGTTTGTTGTGAAATGGTGACAAGTCGATTGAGTTGATCCAAAAAGAAGAAAGTGAGAAATTGTGGTTTGTCTAGGGGGACCAGTAATAAATAGAAACGAAAGGAATCAGAGATCTCAGAAAAAAGAGCCAATTGTTCCAGTTACTACTCTATCACACCTGATTGTTCTCTTCGAGATCTTTCGTAATGTGACTTGGAACAAAGAGAAAAAAGTAATAAACCTATAAAAATAAAGGCGGATGAGTGACGTTTTGAGCTAAAGATAAACCTTTGTAAAGTTTATTGCCGTTTTATTATACAATGTAGCGTTTAAGATTTTTCTGAGATTTGGTTTTCATACTATCCTGATCTATATCATTAGAATGCTACTTTTATTTGAGATTCATTGTCGAAAAATTGCTCATTTATAACATCAACTACAAGCTGGCGCATACTGTAAATACGCTAATAGAAGGCCACCTAATACTTAAACTTTGAGCTCATATATCTCAATTTCTATAAGAGATAAAGGAAATGTCAACTAATAAAGTGTGTGACATAATATCACCAATATTTTATCAGTTGACACTTTTTCGATATCTCTTTAGGAAATGGAGACAACTGAGCTCAACGTAGGGTACGGTAACCAGGACTAAAGTTTGTACTAGTATAAAATTGGAGTGAAGCTTTATAATGGGCTCAAATTTGGAGTGCGAAAATTAAAATGATTAATCAGTGAACTGGCTTAACTCTCAGTTTTTATCAACTTTGAGCTGAGTTATCACTAGTCAACGTTGCTTCATCTCACAAAAAAACATTACACTGTTCATCTTCCGACAATCATAACAATACCTAGACTTGAGGAATCGCTTTAAAAATTCCAGTAGAAATTATAAAGCAATTATCAATTATAAAGTTACATTTTTAACAATTTTCGTGCTTCTAAGGTACGTATGTCTAAATATATTCTCGTTTTTAGCAGTCGGGGTGATTTTGTGCCTCACTGTTTACAGGCAGAATTTTTTAAACGACCCGAAATTTAAAAAAAAAGGAGATCATAAGCTTACAACTATAAACACTTGAATGGGTTCAGAGGTTGAACTGAACCTTAACGACAGATACTTAACCAGACCAAACGATTCCAGGATTTTTACACTCAAGAAAAATGGGGTTTTAAAAGTTTCGCTAGAAAAATTGGGAAGAAACTATGAAAATATTGAAGATACAATGAACCAGAAAACAGTTATTTCCAAAATCCTGGAATTCAAAAAATTTAGATTCGAAGAGGAACCTAGAATCCAATTATTTTTGAGCGAAAAGTTTCAAAAAAATATGAGATGAAAGTGGGAAACCTAGCAGATGTCATATTTTTCTCTCCTTCAGACACTTTTTGAAAAAAGGTATCATTTCAAAGAGAAATCCGTTCACACGCAAAAAAAACCAACGAAACTTGAGCCACTTCTCGAAATGTTCTCCGCTAACGAACTTCTAACCCATATTATATCATCAATGAGCAATCGCATAAAAGTGATAAATTGTTATCAGGAGACAGCGATCTTAAACTCCATTCATATACGAATTGGAGTGTCAGTTGGGCCGAAGGGACCCACCAGGCGAGGATCCGAAAAGAAAAATAAAATGGGGGCCAATACAACGGACGTGTTATTTTAGTTAAGTGGTGAAAAGGTAGAAGAAGAGGAATCAAAAGAAGAGAAGGAAACTGAAAAAAACCAGGGAGAGGGGGAAGAGAAATGAATCAGTCTTGTCAGCTGTCCTTCTCACTTTTTCCAGAGAAAATCCGTTTTTTCCTTTTTTCCGCCTTCAGACACCGATGACGGTGATGAGATATATGAGTAAAGTGCGTTTGTTTTTTTGAGAGTGGTTAGCTAGAAAATAAGAAGTTCGCACTTTGAGAGACTGTTTCCTTGTCTCAAATTTTTGAAATTTTTCTTTGAAAGTTTTATTGGAAAAAGTCTTTCATACAGTTTTCATGAGATGTTGGAGATATAGTGATAATAATTTATCGGTTAAAACTTTTTCGGTATCTTTTGAAGGAACCGAAATAATTTAGCTCAAATTTCTAGCCAAGTACAGTATGTTCTCTAATAGAAACCCACCCCACTTTGAGCTCAATTATCTTGTTCGCTAGGAGGGATATCAAAAATCCATCAACTGATAAAATATTGGTTATATTACGATAAATAATTTATCATTTAAAACTGTTTTATATCTTTTGAAGGGACCGAGATATATGGGATCAAACGTGAGCATTCTATCGGAGTGGTGACGGTAATGGAAATTTTGAAAGTTTTTCTTTTTAGCTCACTATCAGAAATGGGATCTTCTAGGGAAGTTTAGCTAAAAACTAATTTTTTTCCTGAGGGATTGAAGTAGCTAACTTTCAAATTTTCCAAAAAAATTAAACTGGATCTTGAAGTTCTTTATTTTTTGATTCTGTAGATGAGGTACAGGTTGGCACATAGTTACCCGCACTGAAGTTTGTACTAGCATAACATTTAAGTAAAACGTTGTACTGGGCTCAAATTTGAAGTCCGAAAATTCGGATAATTCTTCAGTAAACTGACCAAATCTTAAATTGTTCTATCAACTTTGAGCCGAGCTATCGCTTGTCAAAGTTGTTCCATCTCATGAAAATCACAACGGCGTGCAAGAAACATTTCATAGTTGGACAATCATAACAATATCTAGACTTGCGGAATCGCTTTGAAAATTTCAGTAGATTTGAATCAAATGTAAAATTATATCTCTATTAACTTTCAAGCTTCCAAGATACTTACGTCTAAAAATATACCTGTTTTTATCACACCAGTTTCTTTTAGATCAGCAAACAGAAAGTTAAGTTTTCTACACAAGGGAATAGCAACAAGGAATTCAGAGTACTAAAAAGCTATTCCTGAGATTTGAAGCCTAGATGTTAAAAGACAATGAGAATCTTCTTGAATCTCAAAATTAAATATTTTTCAATATTTTTCAATATTTTTGAAATATGGAAACGGAACAGAAATCTGCCATGCAGGAAACTAAGATTTTAAAAACTATTTCTGAAATTAGAAGACGAGATGTTAAGACAATGAGAATCTTCTTGAATCTCAAAAATAGTAAACAAAAAAAGTTTCAAAGTTTCAAACGTCTAATAGAAGATCTCTGACAAATCCCATAGATAAATCACGGATCATAACACTGAAACACGATTGTTTTCAACAAGTTTTTTTTACAAATTGTTGTGTTAAAAACAACTGAAAAATCACAATGCGTCCTGATAAACAAAAAAACAAGGCTCACCGAAAATTATCGTATTTGCTTCCAAGCGCATCATCCGTGTAGCCATCAGCCAATACCGTAGTCGTTGGTGATGCATGACGCATCGAAGATGTAAAGAACATTATAGCAAAACCGTTTAGCTGTTCATAATAATATTCAGGAAAATCTATCTCCTAGAGTTCCTGGATTCTCCTTCAGAGAGGATTCAAAATGAATGTGTAATGAATGGAACGGCGAGGGGAGAAGGGATTGCTCAGAGCTCAACTTGATATGACACCAATTCGCGCAAACGACAGTTGTCTCTCTCTCTCTCTCTCTCTCTCTCTCTCTCTCTTCTACTCTCATTCGTCTCATTGATTTCTGAGGGATTATGCAGAGTAGAAAGTGAATGAGTTCGCAGAAGAATAAAGTGTAAATTTAATCGGTTTGACAACTTTATTGTTAAGAAATTGAAACTTCAAAGAGAGAATTTGTAGAGGGGATCAATTCTTGATTCCAACCTCCTTGACTACTTGATCAACCCGATTTCTGAGATTCCGCTCGAAACGATCCAAACTGGTATCATCGATTACATCGGTTTGTAACTGATGGCATTCCTTTTTCGATTCCCATGGACATTCAGACTTGTAATGAAGTTTTACAGCTTCTGATGCCAAGAAATATTGAGATTTAGCGACAGCAGGAGACAGTTTGTGAAGAGCAAAGTGGTTGAAAACTGTGGCAACTGTTGATGTGCTGAAAATAAAAATAAATAATTACAGATTCCAGATGAACGTTTACCAACCTGCTGAAACTTTTCCCGTATTCTCCCTTAAGACTCGTTTTCCTTGACCGTTTCTTGTTTGAGATCATGTAGTGATAGTGGGGAAATAGTGTGAAATTAGACGGGAATTTGAATACGTTCCGAGTTGATATTGAGCTCAAGCGGAATCCAGAAGTTTTGGATTCAAAGTCTTGAAGCAGGTCTCCTGGAATTTTCAAAATTATTGATTTCTAATCCAGACAATTTTAATTCAATGCGATTCAAATGGGCGAATTTTTCTAACCATAATTATCAAATTCAACCGGAACTATCACTTCATCAATGTCAAGAATCAACACATATCGATGAGTATGAATATGGCTATAGAAGCAATCATTGTACGGAAGAAGTTCATGTCTTCTTTTTTGTGGACGATTCCCTTTTAGAAATGCACTTCGTTCAAGAGGTTCGTTGGGATTCCCAGGCGGTAAGGAGAGAGGAATCTGAAGTTAAAGTTATGAAATTAGTGGAAACTCGAATGCCAAATTAAAAACAACTTACGACTTTCAGATTTCTGTTCGTTTTGTAGTATTTTAGAATTTTTTGAGTTTCGTTGGAAAGATAGAAATGATAAATTGAAACCGTATCCACTCCGAAAAGGTACTGCATTTCAATCCATTCCAATAATCGATTGGATATGTCTTCCTGAAATTTTTTTTGGTTCAAATTTCAATTTTCATGGTACTGTTACGGTTAATTTTTAGACAATCCCATTTTTTCTAGGTTCATCTCACAGATTCGAGAAAAGTTGTTAACATAAACTGTTTACCATAATATCACAAACATTTTCATCAGTTGACAAAGTTTTAGTGTCTAGCATATGAGTCGATATAAATTAGATCAAACTTGGCTGTGCGGGGGCACCTTTTTTACAGGTTTTACGGTAATTTATCAGCCATATCCTCACCTGATAATCCAATCCTTTGACACAAACTGCCACTTCTTTTTTCTTACTTTCCGACCCTTTGGGTTTCATTATCACTTTCATTGCACTTTTGTTATCCTTGCACTTTTTTCTTGTCAATGAGACACTCATTTCTTTCGAACCATCGATTCTTTTTGTGATCGGACATGTAATAAGACTTGGAACTTGAAAAGAATCTCTTGGATCCCATCCAGTTTGCCAGATTTCTCGAATATATCCTTTTACAGTTGAGTAGGAATTTTCAGTAAATGTATTACAGTATATAGGAATTTTAGATTCAATTGAGTGGTTTGACATTACTAATATCTGAAAATAAATGTTTTCTTGTTAAATTTGTGTGATTTTGTTACCTGAATCGCCGCATTTTCCGGAAAAAGAGAGTTATCTCTATCGTCAAAATATGCAGAATAAACATCGATTCCAGCCATTCTGACCCAATGTCTAGGACTTTCAATATACTTTGGTCTTTTCAAAAAACACCAATAATTCTCTTCAACTTTTGATTCTTTCTCCACTATGGGACGGGCTGGGGCTCGTCCCATTTGCATTAATTTCAGATATTCCTTCACAAAAACATCATCCTTTTGCTGATCAAATTGGTCTTCATACTCAATTAATTCCTTTAAAAGTCTAAGTTAATGACAACCTAGAAATAAAAATCGAACCTCGCCATCCGGCGCATAATCCAGAAGAAAATCTATTAGCAAAATGATCACAACAAAAATAACTAAAATTCTTCGAATCGCCCATTTGAATCGCATTGAATTAAAATTGGAAATAGAAAAGTTGGTTATAGCTTCATTTGGGAAATTAGTGGTTTAGGAAAAAAAAAGAAATAGGTTGGTTAGAAGGAAAATAGATGATGACTGGTTTAGAAGAGAATGGAGAAAAGAAGAACACAATACGAAATGGATAACTGACCTTGGAATAAGACAAATGAAATTGAGGAGGTGCAAATAGTACAGATGAAAAGGAGGGAACAGAGAAAAAGGGAAGGATTTTTCAATAGGAATCTGGGAAGAATTCATGATGTTTTTTGTGAATTTTTGGAGATTATAAACGGTACGGCTACTGAATAAAAGCTGGTCGGTTATTTTGGTCCTCTGGAAGTTCTAGGAATACCAGAAAAATATTCAAAAACAAAAAAATCCTAAAAAATTCGATAATTTTGAAAATTTAAAAACTTTCTCAAGTTTTGATTTTTTTTAATATCAGAAGATTGAAAAAATCTTTTTCTATACTTTTTTGGATATTTCCAAATTTCGAAATTTTAAAAGTTGTCTGCATTTTTGGAAAGTTCTGCTTTTCTGGAAAATATGAACTTAATGAAGTTTTGTAATTTTCGAAAATATTGGATTTTTCGGAGTTTTTAGATTTTAGAAATTTTCGGAACATTTGGATTTTCAAAAATTAAAAAAAAAACAAAAAATCCAGAACTCCTTTGAAAAATCTTATAATTTCGAGAATTCCACAACTTCATTAAATTCAGATTTTACAAAAAGAAGATATTAGACTTTTCAAAACTTTCCAAAAAAATCAGAAACTTTTTTAAAATTCAGAAATTTTGAAATATCCACAAAATTATGATATTGCATCTTTAGGAAATCTAAATTTAAAGAAATTTTCGAATTTTCGAAATTGCCGAATTTCTCGAATTTTTTGTTTTTTGGATATTTTCCTGATATTCCAAGAATTTTCAAAAGAACAAAAAAGTTTTAAAGACCAAAATAACCGGTTAGAGCCAAATCGCATTTAATTACTCTTAAAACAGTTCATTATAAATCCGCTTTTGTAGCCCAGTTTTTGGATTTTTCTTGATCAATTCATATGCCATTTCTGAATGAACCAATTCGAAATGAATTTCCAAGTTTGATAGTTTATGTCTCATTGTAAACGATTGTCTAATACTCTCCGGATCGCGATATTCCAAAACATTTCTCCAGTTTTTGAATTTTTCATCAACTTCTGATGACGCCAGAGATATCTGGAAATCATTGACGGGTTGCTCAACTTCCTGAAAATCGAAACTTTGAATTAACTTGTTTTCAACATCTTACAATAAGAATATCATCGTTAGGAACGAACTTCCAATATTCCAGCCGAAGGAACAACGTTGGTTTGTTTTCCGAGAACTGTTCCCAAACTGTGTCTGCCATGATATATAAGAAGCTCCTTAGAAAAACATCAACCTTGTATCTCAAAATTTGAGAAACAAAAATTTCTCTCCTTGAAAAAACTGAATCGAGTAAAACTACGCAGTGGAAATCGACGCCATTCATGGGAAATGTTCCGATATGGGTTTCTGATGAACTCTAATTGAATAGTTCTGGGACACCATTTCCTCATGATTTCCTCAAGAACTTCTTTTGGTTGTGTATGAGGAGCGTCTCCAATATTCCAATCCAAGAAAAATAAAGTGATAAAAAGTTTATCACAACTGATATTTGGAGTTATCATTGAACGCATCTGTGACAAGCATTGATCTCTTGTTTCTGATGAATTCACACATTCTTTGGCAATTTGTTGGATCAAACTGCAACAAAATTGTTGTTATTCTGAATTTATACAAATCAAGGCTCACTAATCAGTTATTTTCAGCATTTTGAAATGGGGAGGATCTTTGAAAGAATTCAGAAGAACGTCCATTGTCATCGGTCCGTATTCGTGACAAAGTGGAGCTAGTCGTCTACATGGAAGGCATACTTGATCAGGTGTCAAGTGACACCACATATCATTTTTGCTTGTTAGAAATCTCACTGATTCTTCTAAAAACTAAATTGGAAAATCATCAACTTCCTATGAATTCTTACTATTAGTGAGAATCAAAGTTGTCATGAATTCTTCATGAAAGCGTACAGAGAAACCACTTATATCAAACTCAACTGACTTGATGTCGATTTCAGCAACGTTTCGAAGGAATCTGAGAAAATTAAGTTTTTCGAAAGACATTTTTTGAAAATTCTTTCGAACGAGTTTTCAAAAATCGTTCGAAAATTCGAAAAACTCGAAATCAGTGCCTTCTTGGCCATGTTTTCATGATTGCCTAACTTTTGCAAGTTGTCTTAGGACACCATGTTAAGCCTATTAATGACATGATATTGGCCTGGTTGTCGACATCGGACGAAAAAAATTCGAAATTCCGCTCAAATATTTTTTTAAGTTGTTCGAACGTAACGAAATAAAGTGGGCCGGTTTTTTCTAAACAGTGTAAACACCAAACAACCGGACCAAATTTATGTTTGATAAAATTATAAGGTTTTAATTGAACAAACTCACCGAAACGCCTCTAAAACTTTATAATGATGAGTTTCTTGCCCATTAATATAATAGTATCCACCATTGCCGATTTTGTATTCAATATGTTTACACTTGTTTTTGATTAGTTTCAATATTTCGCAATCAAACTTCTTGGTGATCAACTAGAAATAATTTCAATGAAACCTCAATTTTCTGGTACGAACTCACTCTCAGCGGTAGAAGCTTGAAATAATCCTTATCCGAGTCCAGATTTTTCAAGATTTTGTCAACGAGCATTTTGTTTCGAAATACGTTGTCGGAAGCAGTTTGATGCTGAAATTATTCATTTATTTCTTTAGCTGAAAACAAAAAAAACTCACTAATTCTGGAGAACTCATTTTTTTCAGAAGAATCAGAAAATTTGAAAAAAAAGTATTTGTTGGAATGGTCAGGGAAAAGAAAATATTTGGTGCTGCTTTCAGCGACAACGTAATGTTGACACAATAGGTGAAAGGGAAATGTGGTCAGGAGATTGGTTGGAGGACGACAACGAGATCAAACAATCAGATTTATTGGTAACTTGTGTTACAAGCACAGTGAAAATTTTATTTCAAAAACGAGTAAGTTAGAAATAAAAAATGTATTTTCAAATCCTTCGAAAATATTCCAATCTTCCGGATCCTTCGAGCAGATTCCACTTGATCGTTCCTTTTTCGGCATACTAAACATCTAGTTCTGAAGGTACATTTTTTGTGGTACAGGTGGAAGAACGAACAAAGACAAAAATTCGAAGATACTTTTTCGCTTTTTTGCTCAAAATTATAGGCTTAGGCTGAAAGGCCATATTTCCCCAAGATCTCACCGTACCCTTTGAACCAATACCCTCGGATCCAGGGCCTTCCTTGGGGACTCCACGGATTCTATGTCAACTTTAGCCACGTTTTGGAGGAACCCAAAAAACCCATCATGATGTTCAAAATACTCTTGAGAACCTGCTGACCTGGCCGAGCCAAAGTTTTTCAGCGCACCATCAATTCCAGCTTATCTTCCTCTTGATCATGCTTCTTTTTTCTCAACATCTTGTTTTCCGATCTGTTATCAATTGATACAATCGGACATAAAAAACAAATTCAAATCTATTTTCCCGTTTTGTCTGGCGGTGCTTGAGCATCTTTTCAACAACGAAAACAGTGCGTTTATGAAATATAGAAATACAAAATGTTCGATTTTTTACAACAGGTCAAAGTTAGAAGACGATAACAGAATGCATTTGGCTAACAGTCTGTTTTTCTTAATTTGCACACTTTTTGTGATCGGAGAATCGGGTCAAACTCATTATGGTAATTTTCAACAATCAAACTAGCACTCTTTAGTTACCCATTTTTCAGCCGACTCACTATACCAATTCGTAAATAAAATGACTACATTGGCCCGTCTCACCAATGGAGTAGTCTTGGAGAAGGGTCTTCTGGAAGGATCTATTCCTTCTGATGACGTCATTTCCAAATTTCTTCACATGGGAACATTGACAATTGACGAATTACTTAATCTGAACACTGTGCAACTCAACAAATCCTTCACTGAACTTCATCATCTATCTGAGAACCTGGTGTCATCTAACGATGTAGAAGCTGTGGAATCGAGATTTGAAATTTTAAACGAAGTTAGAAAGTTGGCATTACAACTATGGAATATCACAAGTTTACCTGGATTGGAGGATTACAAAAAGAGTATGAACCAGTTGGTAGCGATCCCACTCGACGGAAAAGAATTGGATAAACTATTCACCAAATTTGACGATTTTGAGAAAAGAATTGAGAATATAACTGAAATGGAAGTGCCGGCAAACTCAACTGAGAAGAATAAAGCTATGGCTGAAATCAGGAAGATTATCGGAATGTACATAGCATTCGAGAAAGAAGTGAATACCTTCAATGCTTTTTATGAAAAGATAGATTCTCTTAAATTGCTTGCAAAATTGAACATGTCGTTTTTGGATCCACTGGATGAAGAAATGGAATTAAGACAGAAATATATTACGGAATCTACATCTGGAGTCAGGATCAAACTGGATCTTATCAGAAACAATGTTGAACAATTTCTCAATTCTTCAATCATTTTTCAAAATTCCCAAGGTTTGGTGAGTCCCGTTCAAAGATTGATTTCTGCTAGACAAAATGCTCAAAACTGGAAAAATATCTATTCAATTGGTCTGCCAAATGGTCTAACTGATTTTCAAAATATTTCAAGTGATACCAACGATATGAAATCTCTCATCAGTAAAACTGATAGTGATTGGGTTTCAAAACATTTATCAAGATCTCTGAATCCGATAGTTGACTTTGGAAAAAATATATCTTTAATCCATGATTCGTGGGCATATTTGTCCTCAGTTGATGACTTGGATTCTGTGGTCCAGGCTTCTGAAGAACTTGCTAAATATGCAAATGAAAAAGATACCATCCTACAACTAATGGAAGCATTTGAAGAGTGTGACAAGTTTTCGGAAAACGAGACTTCCAAAGCTCAGTCTATAGAAAAAATCAACGATTGGAGAAGTGCGGCATCTGAATTGTACAAAGTGCTTTCAGAATTCAAATCTTTCGATTATTTGAAAAAAATGCCGAGTTCTTCGAAATATTTTAACAACTATGAAACTTGGAACGTTCTCACCAACAAATCATTGTTAAAATTGCAATCCAAACCAGCATGGGAACGGGCAAAAGTTGCTTTGGAAAATCTGAAAAAGGATTTTCCTGAATTCAAGAAAAGTGTTTCAATCGTTCAGACGGCCCTTGAAAAACTAAATCCGATTCTGATTGAAGAATATCTGAAATCTCTAGAAGATTCTGGATTTCTTAACTTTTATTCGTCTTTGAGAGATAAAATTGGTGGAAAAGAAGAGGATGGAAAGATTATTCTGGATCTTTTGAAAGAATTGAGTGAATTGAGAAGGAATCGAACAAATTATAAAATTCAAGAGGTGATTGATGTAGTTGGAATTCTTTCCAACAGTTTGGAGGATTTGAAGTCTCTAAAAGGGTATGGAGAAGAAATGAAAAACGTGGAAGAGATGGAGGCAGTTGCATTGAGAGATTCCGATTTTCAAGATATAATGTTTTGAACAAACTGGCAAAAGCCATCCAGGGATTAGCAGCAATCAGAGAAGTATTTGTACAAAGAGAAGAGCTTGAAAATCTTGTTGGGGACATTTCCTTTATCAAAACATCAGCAGAGAGTTTCAATGTCAGTTTGAAGCCAGAAGAGATTAAAAGCCTGTCAAAGATTGAAAATCTGAAAATTGTTCTATCAGAATTTTTTCTGAAGATAGATAGTTTGAACGAGAATATTGAAAAGTTAGAAGCCACGACGTTTGGAAGTTTTACACCAATATTCAAAGCCGCTCGTGAAATACCAGATGTTACTGAAGATGGGAAGCAATTGGTTTCTGCTCTTACATCGTTGAGCAAGTTAAATGTGCACTGGACCTGTTCTTTTCTTCATTCCGTAGTAAAATTCCGCCAGCTCCAACAACCACGATTACACCTCAAATCACAACTATTCAAACAACAACTCTCTCCGTTTTTCCGTCTACAGTGATGGCTCTTGGTTTAAATCAAACTGCCAATACAATGCCAGAGTGGCAAATTGGGTATGATAGGACTTTAAAAAGTAACTAATTGTAGTTTTTTTCCAGATTGATCGTGGCAATTGGTCTGATCACTACAGCCTTTATTTTTACAATCCTCTCGTATTGTCGTAAATGGTTCTGCTTCAAAAACAAGAAATCCAAATCATCCAAATCTGAAAATGACATATCATTCATTCTGTGGAAGTCACTCAGGATGAGGTAATTTGTACCTCAGAACTGAAACTCGCTCTCTCCATTTTATTTTCAGACTAAAACAAAAACTGTGAAGGAGGGACCTAAATCAAAAGAGATAGCAGGGTCCGGATCGAAGGAAAGTGTCTCAAAGGGATCAGCATCGAAATCCAAGGAAGATGTCAAAATGAAGCCAAGTCAAGAAGTTATGTGAACTGTCTAGATATTATTATTGTTGGGAATGAATAGTTTTTTTGAGAATATGTATATGACAACCGATTTCAAGCAGTTCAAAAAAGTTTTTTTTTTCAGAAAAAAATGTTGGGCATGGCCTAGAAAAAATTCTAATCTATTTTCTAAGAAAACTTCAAATTTCTTAAAGCCGTCGATTTACACATTTTTCGAGAATTCTTGAAGAACTTTTTGGTGGCTTAGAAATCGAATTCTAGGCCACTGATAGTGAGTGATAAAGTTTGAAGTGATAGAAAGTGTCTGAGAAGCCTGTCGAAATTAGTCTCAGCTGAAAATGTCAATTTTTTAAATGACTATATTTAGGTTAATGGCCTAGAACCCCAAATGTTTCAATTTGTAGACAACCAAGATTTTTTCAGCTTTCTAGAGTGTATTTTTTTTCCGATTCAGGTGATTTTTCTGTTAGAACCGGTTCTAGAACCCCTAATTCCTATGAAGAAAGACGACTCAAAAAAGTTCGAAAAAAATATCAAAATTTCGTGGCTTTTCCAACCAGAAAATCAATCATTTCTTTATATTTCTTCATTGAAAAATTCTCCTAACATGTCGTGTCCATATACTGTTTTAGACCTGTTTTCAAGGTAACTGTGAATTCATTAGAATCTTCAGAATTTCTCAAATTTTCCAGCTATTCCCTATGCAGTCCGAATCTGTGGATGATCGTCGCGTGTTGCTTTATGACACTTTTAACAATGACTTTAACGATATATATGCAACACGGGTTCAGAAGAGATATGCGATGGTTGCAGTTTGCGCAGTGGAAACTGCAACAACTGGCTGAACGAATGCGTTATCAAGAACCTAATGTGACACTTTTGGAGCAGATAACACGAAAAGTGAATGAGAAAAAAGCAACGGATAAGAACGCATTTGATTTCTTCAATAATGCCAACAACAATGTACCAGGAGCATCGAATCAGGATAAGTTGGCAAGTAATGAGAAGGAATCGAATGGAGAAACGGATAGAGTGGCAGCACAAGTGAAAAAAGCGAGGGATGATGATGCGGAAAAAGTTCTCAGAGACACAAATATTGATGCAAACACTCCCATGGTGTAGGTTTATGATCGTCTTATTTCCCATTTTTGTGTTTTTATTTTTTAGGAAAAACGCGACACCTAACAGTGGCGGATCTCAGAAAATCTTGAAGAAATGGACAGATGTCACGAAAGAAATTTTGGCGATCAACGACGATAACGATGACAAGAAGACTGATGACGATAAGAAGATCCGGTTGGACAGAACTCAGGAAGACTAAATTGATCAAGCGTTTAATTGTCTTTAATACATTTTTATTTCTAAAACAACTGTAGACTTTCAACAAGTTAAAAAATTTTATCGTAACGCTCAAACCAAATGACAAGCTCCTTCCTTGCACACTGCCACTTGACCAGGTCCACAATCCTCCACTTGATTGCATACATTATCCGTACATAACGAATGATAGCACCACATTCCCGGATCGCAATCCGCAGTAACCGAGCACTTTTTTCGATGTTCCGCAGAAACGCATTGTCCGAAATAGCATGTTTGACAGGAGTTGCAGTGATAGTCTCGTGAGCACTTTGCCCCTTTTTTATGGGTACAAACTCCATGGATACATGTATCACATTTAGAGAGACAATGGTAGTCACGGGAGCAGAGAAGCTGGGGTGATATGGTAGTGGTACTGGGGATGGGAGGAGCTGATGAGGTGGTTGGGTCGGTGGAGTTGTTGGCTGATGCCATAACACAGAGAATAGCCTGAAACTTGATTCTTTTGAAAGAAAACCTTTATAGAGTAGACAGTTTTTGATTTTTCCGTTATTGTTTCAATGGTTGGTGTAAAGTGGAAGATAAACTTTTTCCGGATTTTTTCTTCAGCTTTTCTTTCATTTCCTCCGCAACGAATCAGGAAAGAAAGCATGCTAGAAAACGTAGAGAATCCCAGAAAACTAGGTCATGATTTAGAAAATTTTAAAAATTATGTCACAACCTAGAAAATCAAAGAAATATGTCATGACCTAGAAAATCCAAAAAATCCAAAAATCTGTAAAAGTAACTGAAAAAGGAAGGAAATTGGGGTAAAAATTGAAACAGAAAACTATTTACAGGTTATGGTAGTTTACGTTTTGGGACCGCCGATGTTTTCGGTACAAAATTCGGAGGGTACAAAAATTTTGGGGACATTGGGGTCCAAAGCGGTTTAGGGATACCAACTCTTCATTCGGGTATGCGAAATACCTCAAAAAGTCGAATTTTGTTCTCCTACGCCACTTTGTACCCTCCGAATTATAAGTCAATGTTTTTACACCAATATTTCATGTGTAGGACCGATTTTACAACTCACCACAAAACATAAAAAGAACTTTCCAGCCCACATGGTTTAAGACAAATTGTAAGAAAAAAACGAATGAAGGGGGAATGAAAAAAAAAGAAGAAACAAACACTTTTTGATTGATTCTCTTTCTCTTTTCTGATTCACCTTTTCTATCTCCCGTTTCCCCTCTCAAACCCTTCTCCCGAAAAAATGTAAATTCATCCTTTTTTTGTCACTATGCACACACATAACGAAACTATCCAATAAATCGTTCATTTTCCCCCGCTTCTCCATAGATTTTTCAATGATTTTTCAGCGATGAAAAGCTATCACGTCATTCGCCAAACGATGCAAAAATGAACTCTGATTCGTTCGAAAAGGGAGAAGAAGCTGGAAAAAAGTGTTCGAAAAAAGATAAATTAAAAAACAAATGTTGATGTATCTTGTGAGATCTTTCTGGAAAATGATGTCATTTCAATTCCCAGGAGAGCTTTTTTCTAGAATTCGTTCTCACAAGCTAATATTGAAAATAGATTGTGGGGAAAGATAATAAAGATGAAGTTTATTTGAAAACAATGCACAAAAAAAAAGACAAAAAAAGCAATAAAGCAAACGGGCTGCACAGAATTAGATCTGTCTGAATCAAAAACTTGAAATCCAGCCAGCTACTATTCTGACTAACTTTAAGACGCCTGATTGATTATTTTGAGATCTAGCGTATAAAAAAGCATACAAAATAAATATAAATAAATCAACCCAGTGGTTTCCGCGATGCTGGTAAAAAGCGAGTGAAGCTTCTTGGTCTGTCATCATTTTTCACAAAGTATAAGGCGGAGTTATGAAGCCAGCGGACCTGAAAATGATGAATTTAGAAGTGCAAGGGATCTGAAATAATTGCCGTTCAGGATTTTTCGAAAAGTTTTAGCATTATTTTTCAAACCCTGAACGGCCGTTTATCATCGTGGCCTAACTTTCGCAATTTGAGTTTTTTAGGCCACCAACTTTTCTGCCCTAGAAATGGCCTTACCTGGTTTGTTTTCTAGGCCATTTTAAAACGGGGGCCTAACTTTTGCAAGTTGTTTTCCTTATCGACCGAATTCGGACTTTTTTCGAAATTTTTGAAAAATGTCTTTCGAAAAAACACTTTCAGTTCAGGAACTTACAAAACTACTGAATATTCGAAATTTTAGAAAAATCCTTTTTTTTAAATTTTCTCTGAAATTTTTTTGAGTCTAAATTGTTCAAAAATCCCTTCCGGCTTTAAAGCCCCGCTTTGGCTTTAAAGTCCCGCTTTGGGAGTCGGATACTTAAGTTTTTGAAGTGAACATAATTTTTCAAAACTTCGAATTTCTGCTACATAAATCAGCAAGTTCCCATAATCTTCTATTTTCGATAATCTTGTAATGAATGTTCTAGATTTCAAAAATCTGAAAAATTTCATTCGATGAGCAACCCTTCTCTCTCTCTCTCTCTCTTACATTCCTATCTTCGTCAATCAACTTTTGCAGCGGCTCGGGAAAATTTCGATTAACTCCTTTATTAGTTGGATGTTTCACATCGACATCCTTACGGACCTGCAAAAAACATCATTCTTTTTTGACATGTTCCGTGTCATGAGAGGAGCACTTTAATTGGATTTTTCTGGAAACAAGCCCGAAGACGTGAGAAGAGGAAGAGAAAAGAAACATATAAAAAACAGAGAAAATTCCCAAGAACCCAGTCCTTGGGAGGATGAAAAATATATATAAACAGAAACTGGGCGTACCTGTGTGTAGTACTGAACTATTGCTGGATATTCCTGCCTTTTCGAGCAAACGTGCTCAATCAAACCGTTATAGACATGTTCCGCCACATGTAGAAGTAGATCCGTGTGAGTTTCATTGAAATAATAGCATCCTGAAATTTCTTCTAGAACCAAAATTCCTAAAACTTCCATAATTGTAGTTCTAAGACACCCAAAATTACCCGATCCCTATAATTTATAAATCCCAAAAGAACCTGTTATCCAACGTCCCGTCGAAAGACACAACCATTGAAAACTGCCGTCCCTATACTCCTGTCCAACTCGAATTTTTGTTCCGTTGAACTCGCAGAAGGGCTCTCAAATCAATCATTTTCGATTCTTTTTTATTAATCCAAAAAAATCCTACCAATTTCATAATAAATTTTCTGCTCATCCTGTGTACACACTTGCCATAAATCCCCAATTGTCGTGTTTTGTCCAACCGGAACATCTCCTCCGACTCCACGACACCCAGTCAGAGTCGACTCGGATCTGAAGAAGAAGATGGATCGGATTTTGGAGAGAACCAAGATTTTGGAGGAAATTTGTATTTCTATTTTTAAATTTTTCTTTTTTTCCGGTAACCTCTAAATGTGCTTAAAGGGGGCCCGACCAGAAACATTTATTGCATCAAAATGATCAAAAAGTTGTGTATTTTCCTAATTGTATTACGAAAAGTTTCGGAAAAGGAGTCCGAAATCTCCAAACACTGTTGAAAATTTAAAAAACGATGGCGAACGGGGACGAGGATTTGAGTTCCCGCGCTGTGAAAAAAACCTAGGTCACGGCGGCGGGATAGCTTTCCGCTGTGGCCTAAGTTTCTCACTGCTCGGGAATTCAAACTCTCGTCCCTCTTCGCCACCTTGTTTAGCAAATTGTTTGCTTTCAGCGACTAGTTCCGATCATTTAGGATTTTTTTCAAAATTTTCCCAATAATATTAAGAAAATACATCACTTTTGAAACATTCTGATAGGAGTCCCCTTTTAAAATTGAAAAAATGGTTTTTTTCGGTAATCTCCATGTGCGCTTAAATGTTTTATTGAACATTTATCTAAAAATCCAACCGTTCTTTTCCATCACAAGAATATTTCCACACATCATCATCAACCCATTTCTCTCCATTCAAACGACACCCACCATACCAATCTCGACAGTCACAATTTTCTGAAAAAAAATATATTTCTTCCGAATTTTCGTTTTCCCTCCACGTGTCTTCCCAAAAAATTCTCACAAACATCTACTACTTCTCTTACTCATTCCCCATTTTTCCCTAAACTCGAAAACAATCATAATCTTTTTTTCTTCCTCTACTTTTTCAGATAATTATATGCACATAAAAAATTGTTCATATCTTATAGATCCCTACTTTTTCTTAATTTAATTTGCAACAAAAAACTGGAGGATGACTTTTGGAATTCTCTTTGGGAATATATTCCCTTTATAAAATGACGAACCGTTTTCTCCCTTCTTCTAAATGCAAATCGCTGCTAATTCTTATGCAATTATCTATCATTTCTTCCAACTTTGCATTTTCTCACGAATTCGTAGAACGATATTCGGTTATTTGATGATAGAGAAAGCCAGCTGAGCAGTTTAGAAAACACTTTTTTCTTCCTTTTGAAATGTCGGAAGTTTTGAAAAGAAATATGATATTTCCGGATTCTCACATCATGATGTGTACACTTTGATCGGATTTGGGATTATTTTGGATTAAGAATATTTCGATCTACTTTGGCCTAGACTGACCTAGATAGAGATTCAATAAGGGGAAGTCTTACATTTTAAATTTCTAGTTTAATTTTAAAACACGAAATTTGTTAACAGGTCAGATGCTCTCTTACAGAAATCCCGGTTCCAGTCGGTTATTTCTAATTTAAAAAAAATTTCGAGTTAAAACAATTTTGGATGAACATTTTTTCGGTTTTAATGTTTTCAGGTTCTTGACATTTTGGATTTAGAATCAATTTAGACATTGCTCCGCTCCAGCTGCTTCTAATTTTAATTTTTTTACCTGGGAAAATTTCGATATCGTAATCCTTGGCGCTTGCAAAACCAACTAAGAACAGCAAGATAGCAGAACATTTGCAGGAATATTTCATTATAGTATCAGCAAAATAAAAAAGTAGAAAAGTCGCAGAAAACTGTCTTCCACTTCAGTTTAGGATGATGGTCAGAAACTAGTCGAATGATTCGTCGGGGGGAGGGGATCAACAAAAAAATGGAAAGGGGTAGAAGGGGAAAGTGTTGCGTAATGTGATATGCGGATTGAATAATAACAATGATTATAATTAAATCGCGCGATGTATAAGATTCGAAGGCAACCGTTGCTGGAACTGGAACCATTCTGGTTTTTATTTTTCGTTCGAGTCTGGGTTTTGGTCATTTTATGAGTCCTTCAAATTATGTAGATTCGAAATTACAGCACGAAAAATCTAGAATTGATGCGAAAAATTTAATGTTCAATTTTTAAAGTTCGAAAGAAATACCAGGATTAAAGCAAGATAGTCTACTGTAGCTCTTGTGATCATGTGCCAGAAAGAGATACATTTTCTTATACGAGCATGTACCGTAAAACCTGTAATAGAATGGCTCCCTAAGTTTTACCTTTGAGCCAAGTTATCTGGGCTCCTGTGAAAGATATATGTAAAAAAGTTGTCAACGGATTAATTGCTTATCATATCATCAGAATCATTTCATTAGTTGACTCATTTGCGTTATCCTGCATGAGAGCCAAGAAAAATTATATCAAACTTGACAGTGTGGGTGGGGTTCTACATGTTAGAGGAAATACGGTAGGTATTCTGAAATTTTCATTTCTGAGAAGTGTACTCTAGACCTTTTATACTTCAAGCGACTAAGAAGTTTCTATCGTTTCAGGACCCTGAGAATCCCCTAAAAACTAGAATCAATGTAATTTCTCTGGTTCTGAATTTTCTCACATGATTGTGATTTGCAAACACCCATCCCACCCACGACTGTTTTTGACATTCACTTCCATTTTGGATTTTGTTTTCAACTCTTTTAGCTCTATTGCCTAGTGACGTTTACTCTGAAAATCTAATCTTCATTATTTCTTAACAACAGATCTTTAATTTCCTAAAAAATCCCATCTGATCCTTCTGATTTTTCCAGGATCAAAGTACCGTGCACCAATCACCATCATAATCCTGAACTTCTAGATCTCTCTCTTTTTTTCTTATAATCCTGAACTTCTAGAACTTTCCGAGTTGATTCCTTTTGCGAAAGCAAAAAGTTTGAGTGATATGTTTTTTGCAGTCATTTAATCAATCAAAAAACTTATTGAAATGGTGGTACCAGGGATGAGAACTCGGAAAATGAGAATTGCTACATATGAGAACTAGACAAATAAGAACTCCGGCTCTAATTTCAGGCTCAGCATCCAACCTTTTTGAAAAATATTTTCGAAATGTTCTTCACAATACTTCAAGATTTTCCAAAAAAAAAATCTGTGTTTGCCATGTACTATGTAGCTGTCTCATTTTCCGAGTTCTTATCCCTGGAACCACCATTGAAATGTGTATACTGCTAACGTCATCTACGTCTTTTTCTATGTCAGACAGACTTGACACCCACAAGTCCGGAAGACGTCTTGTTGACGAAATGAATGAAGGAAGTAGTTCATTTTTGGGGGATGGACTACTAAGATATCGGAACTTCTCATTTTCAGATGGAAAATAATTAAGGGGTTTCTGCAGAGGAGATCGAGTATAAGAAATATAACTTTAGGAATCTAAATAGAATTTGAATTCGGAGCTCCAAGAAATATTCTCGATCATAAATATTGGTCATCATAATTGCCCAACTCTTGCGCAGCTCTGGCCGAGTATGGAAATTTGCTCAAAGTCACAAAGAAATACCAACCAGTATTTTCCAAGTTTAGTGATGTTCGGAACGGTATTTTTTGGTAACTTTTTTGCGTTTCGGAAATCGGAATTTTTGAATTTCCGAAAAATTCCAAAAAGATCTTTCCAAAGATCCATGTTTCAAGTTCCAAGAACGTTTCTGTGGTTTCCGAAAGCTACAAACCAAACATCTACTTTTTCTTGACCAGGACCAAACAAGAAAATAAGGAACATTAGCAATTGTTCTGACAAAACCAATTATTGCCAGAAAAGTTCCTGGAATTTCATGTGTTTTCATCAGGTCAATATTTTATTTTTATGCGAATTCCTGTTTTTAATCCATCAAACTATTCGGTCTTTTGTTAGGTTTTTGTCTAAACGAAACCCCACTTTTCCTATAAATATCCAATTAGAAGTCACCCTCTTCTTTTCCCAATTTTAGCCTTCCAACTCCAGAATCACACGTCATTTGATGTGTACTGCTTGTAAGAGGGTCAGAGTCCCATTCAAAATTATGGGGTACGTATTTTAAAACCAAAGTGACATGATGGAAGAGTTGACAAGAGAATAATGGAGTGAGTGGGATGGGAAAATGGGCATTCGTACAGTGGAACAAAATGAAAGAGTTCATCGAGGAAAATAATTTTGAAAACATTTCCAAAAAAAGAGTTCTGTATTTTTATCGAAGCTCGGGGTCAACTTTGAGCCCATATATGCATATTATTTCCTGAAAAAGATATCAATAAGTGGTCAACTGATAAATTATGGGTGATATCATGATGAGCGTTTTATTAGAGAACAATGTTTTGATATCTTTCATAGGATTCAAGAAAAATAGTTAGTTGACAGATAGGAGGTGGGGGTCATTTTCTGAGAGTGCTTACGGTAATAGTGAGTTGTTTTTATCATAATGACCATATCCAGTTTCGACCCTACTCATTCAAAAAATGTGTTTTTTTAATTCAGAAGGCTTCTGAATTTTATTGAGAAACTCAATTTTAAAGTTCCAAAACTCGGAAATTTCCAATTCTAAACAAATCTTCATATTTCAAGATGTTTCTATCACTATTCTCTTTTCGAATTTTTTAAAGAACTGCGTTTTTATAGCATTCGGGTACGCCTTCAAAATGTAATAAACGAATTTTGGCTCATGAGTCCCACTATTATTATTTTTGTTTTTGCATCTGTGAATGCATATTTTGGAATCGGGACCATCTTTTTCCTGGAAATGGGGGTCTGACTAATTTGGTCTTTGACGAGAATAACTTTTCTGTAACCTCTCAAAAACACTCTCTCAAACTCTGAAAAACTGAAATAAACTAATTTCTAGAAGGTTCTCAAAGAATCAATAACAATTTTCTATTCTAGTTTACTTCCTAGCATCATAAAAAATCAGAAAACTTGTTGTCTACACACATCAAATATTCTCCCACAATCCTTATTTCAAATGATCTCATGCTCTTTTTCTGATCATAAAACTCCCATCATTCTCCTCCCATACTAACCTATAAACTCCACCAAAGAAACATTTCGTTTGTCACGTTGTGTCCCAAAAAAGGAGCATTCAAAATTTTCTCGAAACGTTTACAAATCGGTCCTTTGGGATGTGGAACATCTCTTTTCAAATCGTTTTTCTAATCCGAAAAGTTCCAGAAAACATCAAAAATTGAAAGATTTGGATTTAGAAAACAATCCGAACGTCGTTTCATGTTTTCTGTAAATCTGAGAATACAAAAATAGAGATAAAGGCTTTGAATGAGCCCAATCTTCTTAGATTAGCTGAAGCTATCAGTGTCACCTCCGCATTTGTAATTCCTAGAAGCTCAAAATTTTCGATTTCTTTGAATTAGACGTTCTGGGGCTCGAGAATTTCAATAGTGTATGTGGGAATCTGAATTTTTCAGAGATTTTTGGTCATCTTCGGACGTTTAAAAGTTTCCCGTTGTTTTCAATCAGAAAGATGGTTGTACGCTCTGAATAGATCGTACATTTCCGGCGATTTTCCTGAAAAATTTTTCTTGAATTCTAATAATGATTCGAGTTGACATACTTTCTGAGATGGGTTTTTTTGAATATATCAACGCTAAATTCGTTTTTTATTCTGAAAATCTGAGATTCTGAAATCCTGAAATTATGAAACTTTGGAAATCTGAAGTTATGAAAATCTGGAATTCTGAATGTCAGAAACTCGAAGTTCTGGATTCTTGGAACTTCGAAATTTCGAAGGTCTAAAGATCTATAACTAGTGATTTCTGTATTTCTGAAATTCCGAAATTCTGGAATTCTGAAATTTTAGATGTCTGAAGTTTTAAATTTGAGAAACTGTAAAATTACTGAAATTCTGAGATTCTGGAATTCTAAAACTCATTTAAAAATCATGATTTCATAAGCCCAATTCTTTTAAAGTCCTTTTTCATTATTCTTTCTTTTTCCTTCGTCTTTTCCTCCCTTTCCCACTCTTTCTCTTTTCCCCTCAATCCTCCCGTAAGCCCCGCCCCTCCCGTATATGCTCTTGAAGCTCCGCCCATTTCCATCTCGACACTCTTGTTGCTCCCGTTTCTACTCATTCTAATATTCACATCGACCACTTCTTCTTTTTTGTTTCAGAAAAGAAGACTGAACGTCGGAAGCCATGCGCCACTCAAACCTTACTGTACTGTTCTTCGGACTTGCAGGTTAGTTTGTCTTTTTCAGACTTTTGAAAACTAGAAGACTGATTGTTTCATTTCATATTAATCCAATAAGAAATCTTATCATGCGTTACTATGTCGGAGCATTTAAAGTAACAAAGAAAAAAACTAGTGTATATAAATCATGGCGCCAAGATAGCATCGGGATTCCCCAGTGACTCTCTGAAAAAAAAAGCGAAAGCGAGCTCAAAAAATAAACATCCGCACATTGTTTGATGGATCTTTTCTGTAACAACGGCAACGCCATCCGAAATTTAGAATCCTGGAGAATCCTCTTTTCTACTTTTTTTCTTTTTTTTCGAAGAAAATTGATGGACTTTTTTTCCAAGTAAAAAGTTAAAAAAGAAAGAAAAGACCTCCCTAGTTGATTGACTTTCTCATCTTCATTTTCGTTAAGTGGCTCTTCTGCAGACTAAAGAAAAAAAGAAAGAAAGACTCATTTCTCATTTTTGAGATCGGCTCCGGAATAGTTTCGAGTACTACGGTGAAACCGTGTGACGTCATCTGGGCGAAGAAATTGGGGCTGCGAAGCTTAGGATGAGTCTTCCCCTCGCTAGGACAATTCGATTTGACGAACTACGTTTTATTTTATTCGTTGAAGAAGAATAGAAGTCGTTGAAAATGAAGTTCTATTTTTGGAGCCAAAAAAACCTGAAGAGCAGCAAATTTTGTGTACATAGTTGTGTATGGGGCTTCCCGCTGTAGTAATTGGGGAAGGAATGGACATTGAAGAAGCCATTGAAATTCGTAAAGTTTCAGTCTGGAAGTGTTCTAATTTTTAATTCCTGGATTAGAAAATAACGAGGGATTATTTTGAAATGTGAGGGGGGGGGGTGGCTATGAAGGGATCCGTTAGTAGCAGAGATGTCCGGAATAACTTTTTAAAGAAACAAAATCCGGAATAAAAAGATTTTCTCGGAATCCGAAATCCGGAATATGAAACAAAAAAGCCCGGAATCCGGAGTTTCGAGGTCTCCGATGGGCAGAAAAATTCTAAAAACACATATCGTGCTTTGTTCTTGCATTGTTAGTCGCGGAAGTTCAGAAACGGCAGAGAATTCTTACAGTTTAGCACGTTTGCTGAAAATCTGGAATAAAAACTTCTCGGAATCCGGAATACGGAATCCGGACAAAAATATTTTTCATGGAATCCGGAGTTTAAAAAAGCACGGAATCCGGAATCCTGACATCTTTGATTAGTAGTGACCATAACCGAGAATCTCTGAATTGTCATGGATCAATGTCTTTCTAAATTGAGCGATTTTGGCAGATAGATCCGGAAAGCGACACTAGATAGATACAGGGTGGCGCATAATTACCCGGTCTCTAGTTTGTACTATTATAAAATTTGAGTATAACGTTGTACTAGGCTTAAATTTCAAGTAAAAGCATTTAAATAAGTCATTAGTAAACAGGCCAAATTTCAAATTATTTTATCATTTTGACCGATTTTGAGCTGAGTTATCGTTTGTAAAATTTACTTCATCTCATGAAAATCACAAAGAAATATTTCTTCGTTCATCTTTAGACAATTATAACAGTACCTACTGACAAATAGTTGACAAATAGTTTCGAAAAATTCAGTATCTTTTTTGAATCAAACGTAAAATTGTATTTCTACCAATTTTCGTGCTTCCAAGATACTCATGTCTTAAGATATACCCGTTTTTATCAGTCCTGCTAATTGCGCGCCTAGGATAAGAAGGAGAACTTTTGAACTCTAAGTGAGCAGCCAGTGAGCAGTAAGTATGTCCTAGAAATATTTTTGGGGATATCCATTCGATCTTTAATATCCTATACGCCCTAAAGCCAATTTGTCATGATCAAAGTGCCCAATTAGTTTCCTAGAGCTACTTTCACATCTATCTGTTTTGTTTTTTTTTTCTGAAATAAGCTAAAAATAGAGTTGTCTGTGCAAGAGAGAAAGAAGAACAAATTCAGATCCGCATTTGAGTTAACACTCTCTTCATTTTTTTTCTTCCTGTCCATTTCACACACGAAAAAAACTTGTTTTTTCCGAATTACTAATGGAACGAAAGAGATGGAAATGTTCGAAGTTCTTCTGAAACAGATTCAAAAAATAGGCAAGAGAGAACTAGCCATATTTTATGAGTTTCCTCGGTTATTGGAAACGAGAGAATTCGTTGGTCTTTGGGGAAAAACTACAAGTGGGTCAGAATTTAAGAGACGGGGAAATTTGAAGAATGGAATTTTTAAAGATTTTTTTTAACTTTGAGAGAGCGAAGAAAATATTCTGAGCTTCGAACCTAAACGTTTTTACTAATTTCTGTTAAAAAATATTTTGATATCTTGCAAAGGGATTGAGTAATTGAGCTCAAACTTGACAGTGTGGGAACCCTTCTATTACAGGTTTTAAGGGATTAAAGTTTTCCCGCAAATACGATATTCTTCTGAAATTTTCATTGATTGTGATTATGCATTCCAAAACATTCAAATATTAGAAATTTTAAAACTTGTACTCATAGTCTGAAATTCAAACATTTCGTTAGGATTTTCATTTTAAAAAGTTAGGTCCAGATTTTGAAATTACCGAAACAAAAAATGATTAGAGATCCTCTAAATAAATTTTTCCTCTTTCGATCAAATTATATGTGGGCGTTAGAACTAAATAATCTTTGAAAATCGGAAGAATTGAACTCAATTAGATGAAATCACTTTCCCCCAGACAGCTGAAAAACCTCTGTTCAACTATAAAAATTTTTCAGCCCTTGTCATGATGCTCAACGCTCAATACACTTCTGAGCTCGAAGAGCAAGACGAGAAACGTGGTGGAGCTCGTGCGATGCTTCACAAGCGTGGAGGAGCCAGAGCATTCTCAGCCGACGTTGGATACGACTTTAAACGTGGCGGAGGACGTGCATTCTACGATGAGAAGAGAGGTGGAGCTCGTGCATTTTTGACTGAGATGAAACGTGGCGGAGCAAGAGCATCCCAAGGGTTTGATGAGGAGAAGCGCGGAGGAGCTCGTGCGTTTTTGATGGATAAGAGAGGTGGAGGACGCGCATTCGGAGATATGATGAAGCGTGGAGGAGCTCGGGCATTCTTGGAGAACAAGAGGGATGAGGATTGGGTTATTCAGCCATTCGCTGGAGAAGACGATCGTCTTGGTGTGTTCTAGAAACATTCTTCTATGTATTCTTTTACTTCTTCTACTTCTACTCTTCTGTTCTTCTTCTACTCCTTCACTTCCTTCTTCCGAGCACTTCATCACAAATGATAATAATTCGGTGTGTTTTTCCCTCTGTCCGTTGTCAAATTATTGTATTGTCTGTTGTCCCATGTACCTTATCCATGTGAAAAAAAGAGAGGGAATTTAAAATTGAAAAGAAATGTTGCAAATTTATGGAAATTTCTGTCTGACACATCGTCGATTGACTGATGATTGAACATCACATCACTTTGTGCTCAAAAGTACTTACAAACAATTTTTAGAGTCAGTTTTGAGTCAACAAACTCTAAATGTAATCATTTTCTTTGAGCTGAAATTGAGGCTCTTTTGAATATTTTCTCACATGAGCTTCAAAAATTTTTCCAACCCCCTCTGTGTGCTGTGTTGTCAGTTAATTGTAATTTTTAAATACTTTTATTTTCAGAAAAACGTGGCGGCGGTCGTTCGTTCCCAGTCAAGCCAGGAAGACTAGATGCCTAAATAATTCCCCCCCCCCCTTCCAGTTCGAAAAAATATATCTAAAATTTCGTTTTCTATTCCCCTCTGTTTCTGTCCCTGATCTTTTTGATCTCTTTCTCTCTCTCTCTCTCTGATCTTATTTTCATCAAAATGGATTTATTTTTTTAATAAAAAAATGTTGAGTTGAAAGCAGTGAAGTTAGTATTAATTAAAACAATCAGCTGAGAAAATAATTAAACGAATCATGGAGAAAAAAACAGGTCACGGAGCGAAATAATGGTTTCCAGATGTGAATGGCGGTACTGGCGATTCGCAATTCACTTCGGATTTTTGAACACGGACTGGAAGTATTCAGATTCATTTTTTAACAGGAATAAGAAAACTTACTGTTGGTTGGGTTCATGAAATATCCCTTTCCAGAACGGTAGAACTCATATTCAGAAGCCACGGCTACACAATCGACGTCTCGTCGCAGACGACTGAAGCAGACATGAGGGGTTAGGCATCGGGAGACCTGGAAGTAGGAAGAAGTTGGAATTTTTTTTCAAATTTCAGTTTTTGAATCCTGAGAAAAATTTTCCTGATCATCAGCAGTTGCTATGAAAGTCAACCATGCAATTTTTTTCCGTAAAAAAGAATATTCTTGATAATTAGGAGATTGTTCTCTCTGATAGAAGCCCACCCAAACCGCCAACTTTGAGCTCAATTATCTCTTTTCCTATGAGAGATATCACAAACTTGTCAACTAATAAAATACTTCTCATATTATCACCAACATTTGATCAGGTGACACAAAGTTTTATGTTTTTCCCAGGGATCGAGATTATCAAGCTCTTCAAAGCATATACGTTAATTAATTACCTTCATTGTCCAATGCTCATCATTGATAGCTCCCATACATCTATCAAAATCTTCCAAATACTCTGTGTTCGTTTTGTTCAGAATTTCAGATTTCATACTTGTGAATGATTCGATTCGGTTTTGCCATTGTCTGGAAAATTGTGATTTAGGCCTCCCGTTATTTTCATATGAAAGACATGTGTATAATATCCGTATTAAAAGAAACCCTCTAATAGAAGGGCTCCCTTCTAATACAGGTTTTACCTATAAATTCAGACTCACTTATTAAGCATATCTGCCAATGGGGACATATTAATTGGAGTTGGTGATGGAACAGTGTTATGTGAGTGACGAAGATGATAGAAGTGAGCTTGTCGGCATGGAACTCTGGTCTGAACGTATCCGAAACGATGGATTCCAGTTTCATGCATGTTCACACTGTCCACGCGACCTGGAATATTAGAGTTAGGAGAATAATTAAACTTCTAGAACTTTTAGAAAATACTTACTTGCATTCACAACGACTCTGGTCTTCATTCTCCATACATTACAGTTCATTTTATTCTTCGAATTTCTCAAAAACTCGAAATTAAAGTTTGCCAGACTCTGATCTTCTTGACGGTTTGGTGGGACGAATTGCACATCACGATGCTCGAAAAGTAAACTTCCAGCTTGAGGATGTTCAGCGAATAAGTTCTGAAACGTTTTTTCGGTTAAGAAAATCCGGAAAATATATAAGACTCACTTTCAAAATTTGAAGATTATCTCCTGGAGACACTGTCGATGGATCCAATGGCAATAAGAAATCATCAATATCCGAGAACACAACAATATCAGACCATGGCTTTACAAAGAACAAACAATTGACATGAGATTCTTCGATTCCTCTCGAAAGAACCAATCCATTTGGATTTGTGTCTGACATAATTGGCCATTTTGGCCAGTGTCTGATGATCACAATTCCCTTTTTCTCATATTCTTGAAGGATTCTATACGTGGCACTGGAGGCTGATTGAACAGGGACCACTATCTTCGTCGCTCCCATAGCCAACCACAATTCAATTCCGGTTACAAGGATTTCCCAATCGGTATAGATGTACATTGGTGCCATACAGACGACCATATCGTGACGGGGTTCTCTGAAAAATGGGAAACTACAGTAAAATATGTCTAGAAGAACCCCTCTAATTGAAGGGCCCCATCCGCTATATTACTGTTCTTCTATTTTTCCGGTCATTTTTCCCGAAATTTTTCATTTAAAAATTTTGCGGCATTTTGTTCAAACTTCATGAAAATCTATCATTCTCACCAAAATTGAGCTAGCTTTTGAGTGACCCTTTTTGATTTTTCTCTCGGAGGGCACTTCTATTAAAGGGGCCCTTCTAATATAGGTTTCACGCTAACTGGTTTTCTGGATTTTAAAATATTTTGTTTGAAGTATAAATTATAACAGAAGACGACGCTCCTCTAATAGAAGTGTCCTCAGTGATCCCACAAAAAAACAAGTGCACCTTTCAACTTAAGGGCCCTACAAATTATACGTCCCTTACAATTAGAGACCCCAGAAAAAATAGAAGGGCCGGCCCTTTTAATACAGGTTTTAAAGTTAGGAGAAAATCTGGAATGGAACAAAGAGCATTCAATTTTACAATCTCAAAAAACCTTTCCAAAATTTGTTAAATTTTGTTTTAAAAAACGTTTTGTCACCTGAGAGGTGCTTCCGGAGTCACTAGCATAGCGTCTTCGACATTTGGGGTTGTGCTGATTCTAAACCAAATATAATTTTACACAAAGTTCAAACCACATTGTTACTTGAATTCTTTCATAGCATGAACATCCAAATCGCACTCCGCAATGTGTCCAGACCATGAGCAGATGTCTGATGATGCCCTCTTCCCACGATGAATTCGTTGAACTGTTGCTCGGGTGACTGGACAAAGACCCATTTTGTATGGTTTTCAAAACAAAAAAAAACTCACTGAGATAACGATTATTGGCTTGAATTGAGAAACAATAGAGTGGATGTTCGATTCTTCCGTCTCCCAAAAAATGAATTACTGCGAACCGTCCATCTACATTCTGTTCTCGTTCGTCCCTCCAGAAACTACCGAGAATTATTTGACGAGTATCTGAATTTCAGAATAAATGAAACACAAGTTTTAGAAGTCTACTAACTGATGTCTTTCCGTAGAAAAGTGTCTCCAATATTCTTCATTGCCCACATATTGATTGTTCGTGTGTACCAAGCAAAGCCACACAGAAATGCAAATATAACTAAGGATATCCGAAATGCCTGGAAATAATTGAGATACTCGAAGATGATGCATAAACAGACAACTAGTAAAAGGAATACGATGGAATCGTTTCTTAATGGAGAAGCAACTGAAACAACGGAAAAGGAATTTCAGGTTCTGATTGTGAGATTTCGAAATTTCGAAATTTTCGTCAATCTAAAACTCTAGGGTCCTGATGTGGGAGATCTCCTCCGATGTTTTTTGCAACGACAACCGAATGCCTTTTTCAAGAGACTTCTTTAAATTTTACAGTTTAAGAACCTGATCTAGATTTCTTGAAGACAGTAAAAACTACAGTAAAAAATCTGAAATTTGAAAACTCAAGGTTTTTGATTGATTGCCATTATTGCCACAATTATTGTTACCATAAACCTACCCAATCTCCAATAGTACTCGCCCTCTGATTACTGCACATTCTAACTTTCCTCTGCAACGCTGACAGTGTTCTTAACACTGTCCTTTGCATTATCTGTAAACCGAACTTCTTGAATTAATACGTTTTCAACAAAGTATGGAAAATGAAAAAATGGATCAATACTTCAAAAACGAGACACAATTTGAGGAATGATGTGTTGGTTGATGAAGGAAAGCTGAGGGAAGACATGAGAAAAGTTTGTATTCCTTCTCAAAAAGAGGTCGGAGATATCTATCTGGTCCGATTTAGTACTGAACGATCCGCCGAACTTCTCTTCCTTGAGCGAGCGAGAGGGAGGCAAAATACGATTTGAATGAAAGATTGTAACGGCAAAAAGGAAAAAGGAGAAATGAGTTTTGAAGAAGACTACAACTTCAGACAGAAACAAGGAATAGGTTGGACTGATTAAAACAGAAAAGGGTGAAAACTTCTAGGAATATCAAAATTTCCCAAGAAATCCGAGAAATCCGAAAGTTTCAAGAATTCAATAACTCTTGAAACTCAGTTTTTTCAAAAAGAAATTTTAGAAATTTGCAAATATCCAAATGGCAATAGAAAATACTTTTGAAAATTGCTTTCTGAATTTTCTTTCAAAAATAATTCAAGTAAGTTTTTGAATTGTCAAATTCATGGGATGTTTCGGCACATAATTCGGAGGGTACAACGATTCTGGGGTACAACGGGATACAAAGTGATTTATAGGTACAAAATCTAAAATTCCAGGGGTACAAAATTGGACATTTTTAGGTAGTTTTTACCCCCGAATCGAGGGTTTTGTACCCCTAAATTGCTTTGTACTCAACGAAACGACCCCAAAATTTCTGTAGCCTCCGAATTATGTGCCGGATTTTTCGGAATTTTTTGTATATTCGAGTTTTTCGAAGGACCAAAAAATCGAAAAAGTTCTGTAGATCAAAATAACCGGCTAGAACCGAAAAAAGATTGTGTTAAAGTTTTTCAGACTTCCCATGTTCCTTGTTTCCATTATCTATCCTATATCTCTTATCCCAATAGGATTTTCAAATTCATTATTTCTAACTTTTGACCTCTCTCTTTCTTTCATTTTTCTCTGTACATAGATTTGCACATAGCGTGTACATGTGCTTCTCAAATTGAGTTGAATTCTGCTATTTCTCTTTTTCTCTCTATCCAGACAAATGATGGAATTGAATGGAGGAAGAGCGATGAGAAGAAAAAGAGAAGAGACGATACATTCACTCGCTTTTCCAAGAAAGTTTAAATCACACTTGTTCGCTTTTTATTAGTTTTATGTTTTCAAACGGTCGCTCCTTTTTAGTGGTCCAATTCTGAATGAAAAACCGTTCCATCAAGAAAATTCTGATTCTGGAAACACTAGACATTTAAATCCATTTGATCTGAATGTTGTGTAATTCCTGAGAAATCTAATGTTTTGATCTCGACCAACAAGTTCCCAGAAAAATCAGAAGAGGAATGTGTTTTGTCGGAGAGAGAGAGAGAGAGAGAGAGAGAGAGAGAGAGAGAGAGAGAAGCTTGCATTAGAAGTTTAAAATTAAATTCACGATAATCTGAATTTCGAGCCTGTCTGATTTTATGGATATTTTTTATTGTAAGCATTTACCACCGGACCAACTAGGACCTTCCTTCTGTTGATACCTTTTTCTTATACAGACAATATTAAGGCTACACTGTCGGTATTCGTTTTTGGGATTTCAGATTTAAAGGTTTTCTGATCAGAGCCCATTTTCTGATCCCATAAATACGAACTTTGACATAACTGTAGTTCTTTCTCCTGATCTTTCCCCTCTATTTTCTCCATTACCAACCCCATCCCGTTTCCCTAGCCTTCTTCCGGATAAACTATTTTTTGGAGTATCTCAATTTTTTCTAACTTTTGGTCTGAAACTTGCTAACCCTCTCTCATTTTCTTCGTCTTTATTTTTCTCACAAAAATCGAAAAGTCGAGTCAACGAAGAAGGAAGACGGCGTCGTCGCGCATTTCCGGGCGGCCCTTGGGGACTTGTTGGTGTCGTTTCGAAAAGGCACTTTTGAATCCCGACGTCTTCTTCTTCCACCAACAACGTCGTCTTCTTCTTCGTTGTTGTCGTCTATCAATCCGAGTGGGGGCCTCATCCTAAACATACCCCAAGTCTCTATACCAGCTTCCTTTCATTTTCTGTCTCTGCAAAAAGATAAACCACAACACAAACGGACGCACGCAAACGTCTCTTCCCTCTGTATGTGTCCCAAATATTCTTTGTTACCCTCCCAAATATCGCCCCCAATTTTTTGCCTTTTTTCCCCTCTTGTTTTTCCGAATCTCCAAGTTCGACCACTATAGTTGATGTTCGATATGTCAGAATCCTTCCGAGGAAGTCTAGGAATCCGTTTTCTTACAGTTACGGTAAAACATGTCATTGAAACTTTAAAAAAATCGAAGCCCACCTCAACTTCGAGCCAATTTTTCTCGGATCCTTCAAGAGATATCAAAACTTTTTAAACTGACAAATTGCTTATCATAATGTCAGAACTGTTTTGTCAGTTGACACATTTTTGATACTTTTCACGGGGACAGAGATAATCAAGCTCAAACATGACAGTGTAGAGGCCCTTTTATTACAGGTCTTCAGTCTTACAGATCTTGATACCTTTCATAGGAACCGAGTTAATTGAGCTCAAAGTTGAAAGTTTAATGATGACTTCTATGTGGTCGTGCGGTGTTTCGATCCAATTTATCTAGGTTTCTGAGAACGAGAACAAAACATTCAGTAAATTAAATTGTAGCTAAATTTTTGATAAATGTTTACCTAGTTAACAAATGTTTGATATCTCTCACAGAAATCGAGATACATTGGGTCAAATCATCTGATTACGGTGGTACGGTTAAAGCGTTTACAGTTTTCAGACTGTAAGGGTTTTAAACTGTAATTTTCTAGTGTTAATTTTTACGCTAATTTCGAATCTGGCATTATCTTTTCTACACTAATGTGATTTTTTTTCAAAATCGGATGAAATATCAAAATTTTCCCCTGAAAGGAAACTAGTTAGAATTTTTGTTTTAATACGAAAAATGCTCAAAAAAAAAACAAGAGTAATCTATTCCAAGTTAAATCAAATCGTTATCTTCATTTTCATTTTTTGACCAAAGTTGGTTTCGAATCCCTTTTGAGACACCCCTAATTTTTATGACACTATGGTATTATAGGGTAAGTAGGTCCAAAGTATCGAATAACCGGTGTTTGGTTTTGTAACCAATTGGAAACTTTTGAGAAATTTCCAAAAAAGTGAAAAAAAATTCGAAAAAGTGACATTTTCTCTACTTCAGGGTTACTGTAGAAAATCGGTCCCAACACAAAAAATGGTCATAATAGTACCAGGAACTAAAATCTCAAACGTTTGAGTCGATATCATTATTTTGAACAAAAATAGTTTGTCGGGGTTACGGTATGTCATCGCGCCCAGGAGGGGGCGTGGCCTATGGGTACCACAGTCAAAAGTCTTAGAGGAGATCCTATACCCACCACATACAAAATCAGACTCATAGGATCATTTTGAATTTTTCCATTGCCATGGTGTTTTCGAGTTTCTCAGAGATTGTGCCTTAAACCTAACCCATTTTTAGACAAACACTGATAATTTTCTTAAAGTTTTTTTTTGCAATCCCCGAAATCAGTTTTCCTTTTGCAAGTTTTTTTTTCCAGTTTGTCTTTTCTACTCTAAATTCTTGATGTTTGATTTCAGAACAATCTCACCACATTTCCCGATGACAATCAAGTAGACTCTTGAGAGAAAATGAGAGACGAAGTCAGATCGTTTTGTCTGAAAGTCACCACTTTTGTCAGAACGGTAATCTTTTCTTTAATTTCTATTATTTCATTCTAACTATTTTAATTTCCAGGCCACAATCTTCACAATAACTCATGTGGGCCTCTGTTTCCTCGTGGCTCTGTACGCAGTCGCCGGTGCATTTATGTTTCAGGCAGTCGAACATCCATATGAGATGGGATTACAGGGAAAAGTTAGGAACGCGTCGATGAAAGTTTGTTAATTTATAGGGTCAAGGGTTTTAAAAAAGAGTCTGAAATTATTTCAGGTGGTCGACGACATTTATAGATTCATAAACAAGAAGAATGTTATAGAGGAGACTGCCGTGAAGAATGAATCGCAGTGGGCGTTGAAAGAGTTTGAAATGCTATTGGTGCATGCGATGAATTTTGAAGGATACGATGAGCATGACGAAGAACGTCCCACATTTCAATGGACGTTCTCTGGAGCACTCCTGTATTCTATTACTGTCTTCACAACGATAGGTGGGGGTAGAAAAGAATTTCAGGAACAATTACGAAATGGAAAACTCTAGAAAAATTCCAACAAAAAAAGAAGTGCTTTTGAAAGAAATCTAAAAACTGCGAAACAAAAAACTACAGAATAGCGCCCGCGCCGATAAAAACCAGTATACATATCTCTATACATGAATATCTTGAAAGCACGAAAATTGGTAGGAATATAATTTTACGTCTGTTTCAAAGCTACCGTAATTTTTAATGCGATTCCTCAAGTCTAGGTATTGTTATAGTCTAGGTGTTGTTTGTGATTTTCATGAGATGAAGCAACTTTAAAAGTGAGAACTCAGCTCAAAGTTGATGAACTAGTTTGAAACTTGGCCAGTTTATTGGTCAGATATTTGAATTTTCGCACTCCGAATTTGAGCACCAGTTCAATGCTTTTCTCAATTTTTTTTTTGATAGTAAGATAAACGGAATCCGGAATCCGGAATAAAATAATTTTCCCGGAATCCGGAATGAAACTAATTTTTCCGGAATCCGGAACTTTGAGGTCTCCGATGGGCAAAAAAAAATGTAAAAAACACATTTTGAGCTTTATTTTCGCATTTTTAGTCGCTAAAGTTCAAAAACGGCATAGAATTCATGCAGATTAACTCATTTTCTGACAAATCCGGAATCCGGAATCCGGACAAATGAAAATTTTTCAGAAGCCGGAATACGGAATCCGGACAAAAATATTTTTCACGGAATCCGGAATGAAAAAAAACACGGAATCCGGAATCCGGACACTTCTGGTAATTTTGCGCCCATTTTTTCAAAATTTGTACAGGTTGCTGAATTTAATTCGATTCATTTGCTCATCATCGTTCTTTCTTCTTTTTTTAGCTGTATAGATGTTTATTGTGATTCCCTTGAGAACTTCTTTATTTTCCCCCTACTCCACTCCTCATTCCTTCTTCTACGACATACCAATAACTTTCTAAATTTAGCTTTTTGAATATGAGAAAAACAAGAAAAATGTCGCCCCTCTCTTTTTTTTGTTTAATATTGGTCTCCGAATCTAACATTTAAGAGAAAAGTTTCTGAAGAAAGACAATTTCTTGGGCAGTTTAGTAGAATTACAAATAAGGAATACGTCACGAATCCCCAAGAGATTTAAGCGAATCAGAAGAAGAACACAAAGAAACAATGTTCGAAACATTTTTGAGTGAGAATTGATGAGAGGAAAACTGAGGGAAAACGAGAAATGGAATATCGTCTTGGGAGCAATGAATTTCCAAAAATATGAACAAGTTTACGATGGGAAACTGAAAAAGAAAAAAAATGTGGTTTCAATTATGTGGGATCATAAAATAAAATTTTTCAGGATACGGTCACATTTGCCCGAAAACTGACACTGGACGTCTTCTGACAATTCTCTATTCGGTACTCGGAATCCCTTTGATGCTTCTTTGTTTGGCTAACATTGCAGAAACATTGGCGCAGGTTCGATTTTACCGATTTTCAATCAAGAACCCATATTTTCCAGGTATTCACCTACATCTACTTCAAACTTTGTTGTGCCTATTGTCGCTGGCAGAAGAATAGAAGACGTGTGAGAAGGGCGGCACTAAGTTTCAGATATCATCCAAATGCAGCTGTGAACGTTCGGAGAGTTCAGAGCTCTCGAAGTGCTCAAAGGCACAATACTGTCCGTCGGCATGCATCGTTGAATAGATCCAGGACAAGAAGTAACGATACGAAATCCGTGCGAAGTTTTAATCGGTGAGTTTTGGTTTGAATCAAATAAAGGCCACGGCGGCCTACAGTATCGGTAGGATATACAAAAACGCGTTTTTTAGTTGATTTTGACCATTTTCAGGAGTATGAAGCTCAACTGTCAAATGTCGAATCACTTTGAAAACATAGGAGGGTGTGAAATAGACCTAGATTTAAAACTTTACATCAACATAGTTTTTTGAAAATTCTATATTTTTTAGTTTGTTTGTCGTTTTCTGAAAGACTTATTTTTTAACGTTTTCAGTGCAAAAACGGGATTTCAGAAAAAAAAGTTTGAAAATTAGGAATTTTCAAAAAATTCTGTGAATGCAAAGTTTTCAATCTAGGTCTGGTTCACACTCTCTAAAATTTTCAAAGTGATCCGACACTTGACAGCTGAGCTCTAGACTCTTGAAAATGGTCAAAATCAACTGAAAAACGGTACTGTAAATCACGGTCGACCGCGGTCGCGATCTGCATAGCTTTGTAGTGAAGTCATCCATCGAAGTTTTTAGATACGAAACCACAAATGCTCAATTATCAAATCAACCCCCTCGATTCGATACAATGTCTCTGCCAGGAAGACGAAAAATCAGTGCCCAAAGTCGAAGTCCAAATGGAACAATGCCTCGACTTCCGAATTTCCCCGTTCAAAAACGGTAATTGCTTTGCATTCAGTTTTCTAAGTTTTCGTATTCGTTCCTATCATTTTTCAGAAGTTTCAGAGGAGCACATCTTCAAAAATCAAATACAGCAATTAATATGGAACAGTTGTATACAGATGATAAGAGGAGTCGAAGGGGACGGCATGCAGTTAGTGAAAGTCCTGCCAGGGAATATAAAGGTATTTTGAATTTTGTTTGACTCTTCATTCTCCTTGATTCTCCTTGGTTCCAGGAGGACTTTTAGTCCGCGCACAGCACCAACCAGAAGAAGGTGTTGTCGAACTGAAGGCGTACGGTGGCTCTGCAGCCGCTTTCCACGATCTGGTGACCAGAAAACAACGACGAGACGATGCAGTTCCAAACGTCATAATTTCAAGAACCAGAGATGAAGATGTGAAATCTGACCCAGAGAAAACCGAGGAGACAAGCGTATGTCCTTTTTTGGAAGATACATGATTTGAATTTCTGATTATGAATGAGTAATGATGAGTTTTCAGATGTCACTGACGGATGACGAAGATATGCAGAAGCCACCAAGAAGAAACAATTCGGCAAGGGAATTGAGGGAAAAAGAAATGATGATGATGCATTCGATGACACATAAACAGCCAAGCATGGATAGTAGTACATCCAGAAGAATGAGAGATATCGATGGAAGAAGTTATCGATCGGATAGGTCAGAAAGATCCGATGAGATGTCACTTCATTCGTTGAGAAGAAATGTAAGTACTTGATTTGCAGCTGAGCAATGTAAAAACTGAATTTCTAGGGCCATCGAGCTCATGAAAAAATGCCAGTGAGCGTCGGAATCTGCATCGTTTTTGCGTTTATATCTGGCGGTGCCTGGCTGTTTGCCTGGTGGGAAAATTGGAACGGATTTGATGGAGCATACTACTGCTTCATCACATTGAGGTATTTAGAAGATCTTAGCAATTTTATTTCAGAAAAAAAAACATAATTTCAGCACAATTGGATTTGGAGATATTGTGCCTGGTCAGGCTCTGGATGAAGGGAGCCAAGAAAAATTGGTTGTTTGTGCTCTTTATCTTTTATTCGGAATGGCTCTGATTGGTGAGAAACTCAAGCATTTCTATTGAAAATACTAAAAGACTTTCAGCCATGTGTTTCAAATTAATGCAAGACGATGTAGTGCAGAAAGCTAGGTGGCTCGGACAGAAGATTGGAATTCTGGGTAAGATTCTAGGAGACACTCGTTCATGCAAAATATTATTTGTTGCTTTTTTTTTGTTCGCTTCAGCTTCTGTGTCGTCTTATAATTTCAGCCAGGCCGTTCGAGCTGTCTCGTGAAATTGCTAAACACGCAATATTCCTCTTCGGATATTCGATATCAAGTAGTTTATGTTTTTTGGGTGTTCTAGTCAAAATCTCAAAAAATTTCCAGTTCGAGACGAATCATCAGAATCAGAATCCGATTTTGATGAGGATGATATGATAGAAGAGGATGAGGAAGATGGAAGTGAGGGAAGGAACGATCAGGTATATGTGAGTAGTTTAGATTCAAGGATCATACTTACTTTGTGACTAATTTAGAATATTTTAGGATAAACGAACGATTTCATCAGGATCATCGAAACAAAATGATGAGTATATTCATCCGAGGAAGTATCATCATCATCATAGGAGATAGTATTTATTTTGAATTATTTTTTTCACCAACAATCATCGACAACAGGGTTCTCAAACGGGATTTAACTCTTTTCATTTATGCAGCTCACTTTCTTTTTCCTTCCTTTTCTTTCTCAAGTTTTTGATTTAATTACACTGTCAGCTTGGCTAAAACTTTTGCTTTTTTGATTATCTTCATCACAGCAATAAACATGAACATAAATATAAAATTTGATTAAAATCGAAAATTAAATGTCCCGTTTCTTATACACACTGAGAAACCGAATCAAAAGAATCAAATTTTCAATTAAAAACAGACAAAGAATGAAATAAATTATTTGGGTTTTGTGGTTGGAACAGAAGTTGCACAGGGATCCTATGCAAGATGGTCCGGTATCGCTGATTTCATGATAGACATCCGAAACTTCTGGATGACGGATTCTCACTTTTCTCACTGGCTTCAAATTTCGTCGTGTCAAACGGAAATTGTCGAGAACTTGAATACAGAATGCGGGATCTTCACGAAGAACTGTTTGGATTCTCTTCCATGCCACTCGTGTTATCCAGTTTGGATCGTAGTCTGCAGACTTGGAGAACTCATCAAGACGAACCAGAAGATTATGCATCCGAAATCGGCAACCGAGGAGCAAGAGTTCAGTGAAGTAGTGCTCTAAAAAATGTTTGGTTGTGCTCAACGTCATTGCTGCTGTAATCTCTGCTAATCTCATTAGATGAACTTTGTCCAGAAATTGCATAATGTTGTCTACTAAAAATACCGGTTGCAGTAAATCCTAATATGCCTAATCCTCCTTTTATCATCTTGCAACTAACTTGAGATCCGTTTGAACGGTGGATTCAAGACTCGGAGCATCTCGAAAAATACATCTGGATCCATGTCACACAGCTTGATGGTCACATCTTCGGAGTTGTTGAACGCATCGCTGAGAATTTCGGATTGCAGAATCACAGTCTGAAAGTCTAGAATGTAACGCAATTGATGTACCACCACACGAACCTCCATATTCAGGAACACCTTCTGGTCTCCAATGACGACAATCGTCCCAGCCTGTTCTGTCTCGGGTGGTCCGATGTACTTCTCGCAGTGAAGCTTTGTGACTCGAAATGTGACTTCGATGGAGACCCAGTCCTGGTCAGTAATATCATATTCATCTCCATTTTTCTCTTCGAATGGAAACTGCTCTGTCCGTTCGTAATGACAGAAGTGTTCATCTTTAAACCATATCTTCACAGAAGCGTGGTATTCAATGTCTGGGTGATCTTTGAAGTAAGCCGTGATCCGAAATGTATTGTCTTCGACGTAAAAGAACCTGGAATTGAACACTATAGTTAGGGAGATTCTGAACTGACATACCACAGATAATTTGCCACAAACGCATACTGGGGATTCGTGTCGCTGGTGATAACCATATTCTTCTCAGCCAACGCATCCTCGGAAACTTGGTAGATGTCGCTCATTCTTTCAAAAATGAAATTAATAATGAATAAGAGAGACTCGGAGCAATGGATTAAGGCGTTGCCAAGAGCGACAATAACCTGAAGAAGACGATAAAAAAGGGGATAAATGAGGCGAGAGAGTGAAGAAGAGATATTTTCAGGGGAATTATGTTATCGTGAGAGGAAGTATATCATTTTTGAGTAAGAGGGGAAAAGCATTATGATTGTTATTCGAAGGGTTTTGCTCTTTTGGTTGTTGTTAATGAAGGAGAGATCCGGTGTGTATACCCGTAGGAATCATACAGGACTGATATTGATTCGTACGGATTGGAAAGAGGAGAAAACAGAATTTGAAAGAAAACAAAAGTACGTAATCAAAAACATACACCTTTCTGGTAAACGTATTGGTTGGCAGAAAAAAAAAGACAAAATGATTGGTGGGGGAGGAAGGAATGGTATCAATTATTCGAGATCAAGTGCTTTCGTCTATTTTCAAAAAGCAAGAGATTTAGTTTTTCGGTTTAATTGTAGAATATAAATTCATTGATTCTCAGGACTCCAGAAAAAATTAGG